TTCACACTAGTTACCTCGAGCTGGCTACCGTATAGTGACCCCCCCCCTCTCTCCTCCTTCCCGTCTTATATACCGGATACTGTCTCCTTCCGGTCCCTCATATTAACAACAGATACACCTTACACTTGTCGCCTACTGTCGCACTTTACACTGAGTCCCTCCTCGTTTACTGTCGCACTGGCCAGCTTTCTCGCACTCTGCCATAGAACTCAAGTTATACACCTACAGTACATAATGTACATGTATAAGTGTATTATACTCGATGCACACACTACGCACATAATAGAGTCACTCACTTACTGAATCTCTCTCTCTCTCTCTCTCTCTCTCTCTCTCTCTCTCTCTCTCTCTCTCTCTCTCTCTTACAGCTAGTTAGTCAGTTGGTCAATCTTACATTAGAATATCATACATACACAAGGTGGTGTCTTATAACTGTATCTAACCTAATGCGCCTCTGTCTATACACACATCCACACCTGAACGAACACACACACACACACACACACACACACACAAAAGAACATCAGCCGGTCGGTGTTTTGTGTATTCAAATCACTCCATCACCTCGTCATAACTACCACTTTAACGATCACTTAACGACCAGCTTAAGAACCATCGGTTAGTTAGGTCCATCACAACACACTCTTGCCTCACTTGTTGCTCACTTCTTAATGACACTATTAGTCTACTGGGGGGAAGGGTGGGTGAATGTGAGGTGGCAGTCAGCCGTATGTGGAGTGGTCAGTTTGCTGTATGTGGAGTGGTCAGTTTGCTGTATGTGGAGAGTGGTCAGTCTTGTATGTGGAGTGGTCAGTTTGCTGTATGTGGAGTGGTCAGTTTGCTGTATGTGGAGTGGTCAGTTTGCTGTATGTGGAGTGGTCAGTTTGTTGTATGTGGAGAGGTCAGTTTGCTGTATGTGGAATACCCAGTCTACTGTATGTGGAGTAGATAGTCACCCCTATGTGGAAATAGCCAAGCTGCCTCATGAAGGTGTACTGTATGTATGTATGGGTAATGTAGGGACACTGAGAGGTGCTTCGGAACATCTGCGTGAGGACTTTCAACCCCTATAACTCACCTGTAATTAAACATCTGGTCCTGGCCCGGGTTATGTTGACGGGTCTCGGGGCTTTGATATGAGAGAGGATTTAGCTGGCCTGGTCACCGTCCCAAGTCTTAATCGCACTGTGGGTGAGCTATTAAAGTCGGATTTGTAGTCATATGTATAGTGGGTTGGCTCACTCGGGTGGTCCAGTCACTTCCAGCGCACTACTACCAGATGCTGTTTCATTCATCTGATTCACTAACTCATATGGTTTACTGATTCATTTGGTTCACTGATTCATATAGTTGATTACTTCTTATTACCGAAACATTTTTGTCGAGTAAAAAATCATTTGAAGATTAGTACTCCCAGCTTATTTCACCCGATCCTTACCTACTTTAACCTAACCTAATCTAACCTAACCTAATCTAATTTAACCTAACCTAACCTAACCTAACCCAACCTAACTTAATCTAACCTAACCTAATCTAATTTAACCTAACCTAGCTTAACCTAACCTGGAGGTCACTAATCTTTACATAATCCCAATTTAAAAGTATAGCTAGGTACATTTTTGTCACTCACAACAAGATGCTGCCCATTGGTTAGCCTTAATAAGCCACCTCCCCAAGACCCCTCCCCAAGACCCCTCCCCAAGACTCTTCCCCAAGACTCCTCTCCAAGACCCCTCCCCAAGACCTCTCCCCAAGACTCCTCCCCAAGACTCCTCCCCAACATTCCTCCCCAACACTCTTCCCCAACCCTCCTCCCCAGTATTGAGTTAAATGATCGTCTCTTTTATTAACAAGGATGATGAGTCGCCTTGCAAACAGTAATAAGACTCAGTATACATTTACACTGTGATTCTCGTGTTAGTATTTATTTTTTCAGGAGGTGAAATTGTGGTCGTCGAGAGAGTGAGTAAATAACAATGGACTAATTCCCTGCTGTTGGAGGGTGTCGTTCTACAAGAGTTGGTTGTGTGTGATGATCTAAGGTGTAACTTTCAAGCCAGGAATCAGATCATTTTTTTTAGTTTGAGAATGAAGAACAAAATGTATCTGAAGGAGTTCTTTCATGTATACTTTGAGTTAGTTTAGTTCCTTATTAAAGACCCATCAAGCACTAGAGGTCCCAGTCTCCCAGTAGCACAGGTTATGACTCTGCCAGGTGAACAGTTGAACCCTCTTACAGCAGGTGCCCAGGTGGTGATATTTTTCCCTTCCCTCACAACATTTACTTTAGATGTCTTTAAGTGTTTGGTGGCCTCATCTCGCCTCAACAAAGGTTCAGTGAAACAGACCGACACTGGCACGAGTTGATGACCCCTCTAGTATAAATACGCCATCTTATCACGGGCTTCTGTCGTTAATGAAGAGTCGAGGGAGAGATAAACGTAAGAGTGCCTGGTAGAGTATCAGCTAACCCCTGAGGAGTCGTAGAGAAAGTTTTATCGTGCTGAATATGAAATTAGCATACGACCTTCACCCCTCTCCCCCCTCCCTCTCGCCTCGGCCAAGACCTCTCCCACACGCGGGTACAGCCACTTATACTGTTCACTGCCAGTTAAAAGCTTCCCTCTCTGAAACTTGTATTTTTAATTAATATTTTGTGAATTTCCCGGAGTGTATGTTTGCTATAGTATACATTACCCTCCGTAGACATTATTATTAATATATTCTGGGGTAGTTTACACGCCAGATGATCAATTAACATAATTATGTTCTCCACGGCATCATCTCCCGGCAGTCACTCGCGCCCTGTTTGTTTGTTTGTTTGTTTATTTTGGTAAACAGGAGGCAGTCAAGGAGACGGATGATAGTCATCTTTGCTACGTTGACACACAGAGAGAGAGAGAGAGAGAGAGAGACAGAGAGAGAGAGAGAGAGAGAGAGAGAGAGAGTCATCTTAAGTGATCTTGGAAGTTTTACATCAACATGATGAGTGGGAAACTTTGACCTGGTAACATGATAATAGCGACAGGGATAGATGGCGGGCGCCTCTAGCACTGAAACACTCTGAGACAGTTTTAAAGTCTCAGAGATACAAAACAAGTGTTGATATAATGTTATTTATACTTGTTAAATCAAGCCTGAAACCCAACCTGAAACTAGATAAACAGATAGACAGACAGACAGACAGACAGACTACAAGCACAAAAACAACAGCAGTGACTCATAGCGGACGGCTCCCTAGTGTCGACACCACCAACAGTGACTCCTTAAGGTTGTGGCCAAGAAACAGGGATAAAAAAAGATATATCCCAGGTTATATAGTGTATCTTATTCTCTTATATGTCGACCTTTATACTCGTAGGCTCCATCTAGGTCAGCTATAAGTATAGGAAATGGCCACACGACCCTACACCCCCCCCCCCTCTTACATAATAGTCCCCTCGTAAGCAAAACTTGACTCTGGTGTTGTTCCGTAAGGAGGCACAATGACGGCGGCTCCCTCCCTGTTCATTAATATTCTTCGGCAGAGTTCCAATTAATTTTATGGCTGCGAGAGGCTTTTTTTTTTTAGGCGAGGCATCCGTGGTTGAATCTTTATGGCGTTATTAGCTAATACATGAACGTCCTGTAGTGGATTTTGTAGACTAATAACGGAGGTGGTGAACATGTTGACGGTAGCCACGTCTGTAGTGATGATGGATGACTGTGCTAATGTGGTTCATCTTCGGTAAAAAGGAGTTCTTTCCATTTTTACTGCATCCCCAATCTTTTTTTTGGGTGGGGTGGGGGAGGGGGGGTAATCACCTTAATATTAGACACCTAACATATTTCACTTGAAGATTAACTATCCTCACGCTGCTTGGGGGAGTTGGGTTAGCTTAGAATATATTATATTACGTTATCATTAGGGTGGTTAATCTTTATGTTAAATAAGCTGGGGGTGTCTAACCTCAGGTGGTCCGGTTGGGATAGTTATCTCGCCCGGTAATGAGCAGTTGTGTTGGTATAGTCTTACTAAGGTACAGTTGGGGACATTTCCGACTGGTACACTCAGCGTTGTGAATCCATTCTTTTCGTTTACTGTATATAGATTAATTGATGTAGTATGGACGCTTTTCAGTCATTTATCGTCTTGCAGTGTACAATGTAAGGCTGAAACGCTACTGTACCTTGGAAGGTTACACAGCATAACTCTTAACACTTTAGTCATCGTCAAGCAAAGTGTAAGAGACGTCAGTATAGTGTTAAGCTTTATGGAGTGTGCTGCTATGGTGTTGGCGTGGTGCCTCGGATTCTAAGACAAGTTTGACCAGCCACATATCTGTCCAGTCACCGAGTTTAGTACCCTGATCATTACACACATACTTACACCATAATATAGTATGCAGTAGTATATTGTAGTAGCATATAAAAACCGCATATAAATACCATTTACCCTCATGCAAAGGCATATTTCGTCATGGTCCAGGTTTGGCCCAAAGTTGACATGATGAACATGACTTATGTCTACACACTATAGTAGACAGGATGTAATAATGTTTTATTTGTTTATCTCAATGACATGTCAACTTAATGTAAAGAAATGCAAAGTAACAGAATTCAGAGATTAATATTTCTAATTTCACACAACTTTATGTTGGTGCAACTGTCCCCTGCCCTGTGTCCAGCTCTTGTAGAGACCTCCCCTTCCCTTCGTCTCCTCACGTCACATCACGTCTGGGGAGTCGTCACAAAAGAACACAACCTGTTCCTCCTGTATTACGACTCCCCAGACGTACGGGAGCCAACTTTGCACTGCACACTATACACACACACACACCATGGCGCTACATCTGGTACCTAAACAACCCGCAAGTTCTGATTTTTGTCGATCATTTTAAACAGGTAAAAAAAAAAAATATAATTTCCTCCCTGATAGAAACTTTGGGTGGGTATGTGTGTCCATTTTGATGCAGTTACCCCCGACACCTAAAAACTGACATATCCATTTTCTGTTACAGTTGGAGAACATCGGGTCGTCCCTGGCCTACTTGTCGGGCGTCGGGGTGGCCCTGGACGGTCTCACGGCCAAGGACATTAAAGACGGTAACCTCAAGGCCATCCTCTCCCTCTTCTTTGCTCTCTCCAGGTAAGTCGTAACTCATTACATTATTTAGGAAATTTGAAGGAGAGAAGAGTACGAAACCCTAACCCAAACCAAACCAAACCAACTTAACTTAACCTAACCACAGAGAGCGTTAAGGTGATCCATATATTTTATTACGTCATTGATAATATATTTTGTTCACTGATGCTTCCTCTTCCTCTCGTCACTTTATGATGAGTGAAGGTTTAGAATTTGTTTTATTTTTACTGGGATTATCCCACCCGGGCACAGGTCACTGACCCACATCGGGGTCTGGGAGGCGAAAATGTAGTAATAATAATAATAATAATAATAATAATAATAATAATAATAATAATAATAATAATAATAATAATGATGATGATGATGATCATAATAATACATAGTAAATAAATTTATAATAAAAAATAAAAATAAAATATAAATAAATTTATAATAAAAATACAAAATTAAAAATATAATATTAAAATAATGATAATAATAATAACACGAATTAATAAATAATAATAATAAAGGACCATAAAGAAATACAAAAATTAAGAAAAGATCAAAACTGAGAAACGATATTACAGTATGTATGTTGTGTTGTCAAACTTTACCTTGTACTGTACCCTTCTTGCACCCTCAGAGCTAATGCTCTCTTCTCTCCGTATTCTTACAGCGAAGTTTAGTGATACCTTACTGTACAGTTTTTAGGTCATGTGATAGTTTTCTCGGTTTGTTATGGTGTCACTTTGCAGGGAGTTATTATATGTGGATTAGATATTTCAGTTTATTTCACCTGAAGGTTAGCTACCCTAACTTCATCAAACCAAACCTAACTTAATCAAACCTAACCTAACCTGACTTGTTCTGACCTAACGTAGGCTAACCTAACCTAACTCAACTCAAACCTCCTTCAGGTAGCACAAGGTGGTTAATCTTCACCATATCACTGACTTCGTATTGATAAATAATAATTTGTCTATATTTTTTCTATGATACAGTAAGAATTTGGGTGAGAAAGATTTTAGCTGTACATGTTTTGCAGATATAAACAACAGCAGAAGCAAGCACAGCAAGAGAGGAAAGAACTTGAGAAATTAAGAGAGAAGAAACAAGAGAGCGAGATGGTGACGACTGCTGCGTCAAAGTAAGTACCCCTGTGATGTTTGTTTTGTCTTCCTTTACAACATCGAGAAGAAAATAATGGTGATTGTCGTATGTTAAATTACTCTTATTTATCTCTCTATCACGTATGCCTATTTGCATCAATCGAGTCTTGGTAGGTGGTTCTGTTAGTGGTAGGGTTTACACGGTAGATAATGGCGCCTTGGGTCAAGTCTAAAAAGGAAGAGTATATCCTTAATTTTGTCCGTTCTCTATGGCCGACTATCGGATCCGTTTTCTTTTACCACTATTTGAGATTTTTGGGGTAACTAGTAATACTTATGATGGGACTAACTAAAGCGATATTAGAATGGTTCTTTTCGATATTTTGTTTTAATCTTTTTCAATAAACAGATTTCTGGAGTTTTGTTTACATATTTTTTATTGTTTTATTATTTCATTATTTGTATTGGTTAGATCCAGTTGTGATGGTATATTGTGAGAGAATTGGTACATTGTTTTCGATGTGGATAAAGGTTCACTTTACCCAATCACTTGCTGTACCTACTCACACACACACACACACACTCTTCACCTACCGGAGAATGTTGATGGACCCCCAATATTGACGTGGACCAACACAGCTTCTCAGTAAGGTGCTGGACCACATTATTCACGCCATTACCATAATGTGTGCTGGGTGCATCAAGGCCGGAGTATGCAAAGTGTCTTATGCAGGTCTCTTATTCTTCAAGGTGTGTTTGTGTGTAAGACCTTGTTTAACTGTCTCGTTTTAAGCTACAGTATGTCCTCGAAGTTGTACTGAGACTATACCGTTAGTAGTTACGTTTTCTTTTATGGTGCCCCGTTGTTAGACATGAGAGTGCATGTAACTAAAATGGCGTCAATTTTACACTGAGACTAATTGTAATATCGAGTTATTTGGAGACAATTACGATACGGATCTACTTATACGTTCTCTCTTCTCTCAAGTTCTTAAGAGATAAATTTAATTTCCACGAATCTCTGAGGCTAAGAGGCAGTTACTGAGTCTTGCGTAGGCTCCTGGGAGGGGCCGCCGCCGCCGCCGCCGCCGCCGCCCTCAGGTGGTATTTTTGTCTTGTCCGAGTCGACACGAAATCGAATTAAATTTGCATATCATCCCTCGTTTCAAGATGAATTATGGAGATCTTATTGACTTGCCTGTGTGTGTGTGTGTGTGTGTGTGTGTGTGTGTATGTGTGTGTGTGTGTGTGTGTGTGTGTTCTTGTCTGTCTGGAACGCGACCATAAATAATTAAAAATGAAAAATAGACACACTTCTTACCCCCTTCTCCCACCCCCCTTTCCCTACTCCACTTCCCTCTCACCCTTTTCCACCTCCACCTCTTCTTCTCCATCTCCCCCTCACCCCTTTCCACCCCCTCACCCTTTTGCACCCGCTCCTCACACTTTTCCACCACCTCCTACCCATCCCCAGCCCCCCTTATCCCTTTCCTCCCCTACCCTTGTCAATCCCATTTCCTCCCCGCCGCCCCCCTTTCACTCCCTATCCCTTTCCCCCTACCCCCTTTACCCTTTCCTCATTTTTTAACACTATAAACTTGCACACTAATGAAAATCCTGCTAGACTTGTCAGCTGTCTCTCCTGTTTTTATTTATTTTTTTCATCCCTCATTAATTTTTCTTTCATTTTTCATCTTTTTTTTCTCATTCCTTGACAGTTTCTACGTAAGATTTTTTTGGGGGGTGGGGTGGGGTGGGGTGGGGTGGGGTGGGGTGGGGGTAGAGGTATTTTTAATGAGCAAGTTTCATTTTTTTTTCGACTACGACTGAAGAAAAATGCGAAGATAATAGAGAATAGAAGAAAAATAATGAGATAAGAAGATAAAGTAGAAGAAAGAAGAAGAAGTTGGTATAAAGTTATTTGTTATTGGTCGTCATAGATGTTATTTCGGGTCGTTAGCCAGTCAGAAATCAACTTGTTGACAGACAATTGTTAGTCAGCCAATTAGAACTTCACTTATTTGGAATTATATCATGAACTTGTTAATTCAGTAGTCAATTTATATAAGTCAGCCAGTAGAAATTCAGTTCGTGTCAACAGTTAACCAATCAGAACTCAACCTGCCAGTGATCAGTCGTTCAGGAGCCAATCAAACGTCAGACAGTCCAACAGGTAGTTAATCAGAAGAGGACATGGATATCCATGGAATGGGTGGGTGGAGGTGTTGGTGGGTGGAAGTGGAGGTATTGGTGGATTGTGTTGGTGAGTGGAGGCGTGTAGGTGTTAGTGGGTGGAGGTGCTGGTGGGTGTAGATGTTGGTGGGTGGATGGTGTTGGTGGGTGGAGGTGGAGGTATTGGTGGATTGTGTTGGTGAGTGGAGGCGTGTAGGTGTTAGTGGGTGGAGGTGCTGGTGGATGACGTTGGTGGATGGTGTTGGTCAATGGAGGTGTAGGTGGGTGGAGGGTGATGGTGGGTGTAGATGTTGGTGGGTGGATGGTGTAGGTGGGTGCAGGTGTAGGAGGGACTAAGTGTTGGTCGGCACATCTGTGAGTTCTTACAGGTGTTGGTCTACAGGTGTATATCAGTACACAGTAGGTACAGTTGGGTACAGGTACAGACAGTTACAGTTACGTGAGGGTACAGGTAATTACAGGTAAAAGAGAGACAGCTGCGGGTGGTCACAGGTAGATTCACTTATAGGTGGTTACAAGTATAGATGCAGTTACAGATGAGTAAAGTTACAGGTGAGTACAGTTACAGGTCAGGGTCCGTCCTGGTCGCCCTGAGACTGACACTGGCTCAGGGCCGCTCCAGGGACCTTCAGGGAGGACCAAAGTTTTGATGGTCGCCTCTCAACTTCCAGCACCCGTGGAGGATAATCTTCTGGTGAAATTTAGGAGCGTTCACTGAGCTTTTGTGCGTGTGTGTGTGTGTGTGTGTGTATATGTGTGTGTATGTGTGTGTGGTGTGTGTGTGTGTGTGTGTAACAGCTCCTAAGATGAAGCTTTAATGATAAGGAGCTTTTGCTGACGCACTGAATGTTTGTATATTATTGAAAAGGTTTTGAATTTTGTACAGTAAGGCCAAGATGATGCTATTGTTATTCCAGAGATAATCTGAAGTGTTTTGAAAGGATATCTGATTATCCTTTATTTTATTTTTTTTGGGGGGAGGGGGTTGTGTTTGTTCGTCTGTCATCGATTTTATTTGATCTGGAAACAGGGATAGAGGCCGTAACGAAGGGGCTAGGTCACCCATCCTTGAGGTAGACCTGCAGTGACCTTGAGGTAATTGTGGAGGCTGCAGCAGAAGGTCCAGCCAGACGCCGCCACGACCACCCTATCCAATTATGGAAGACGGTATGCAAATTAATTTAGTCGGCACGTCAAGATTGCAAATCCCGTGGGGCGCTCCCTAAATGGCCCGTGTTTTATCCCGTGGGTGCATTTCCGCGGCTCCAGGTGTGAGGGGCGCCGCGGTGGCCAGTCACTGATGGATAGTTACAGCCAAGGCCCCACACCATCTTAACACCCTGAGGAAACATGTTGGCGGTGCCTTGTTAACTCATCATTCAAGGCGTGTTGTTAATTATCCTTTGTTCTCTCTTCCCATATTTATCGGCGTTTCTTTGTTTATTTATTGATACTGTTTTAGCCTTTGTTGTGTGTTGGAATATTATCTTTCTCCCTCCTCCTGCTGGGTCTCTTTGTTCTCTCATCTTCTCTCTCCTCACAGTAGTCGTAGCTCTTGTCTAATCCCGAGTCGTGTACCTTCTTTTTCTTTTGTTTTCCCGTACACGCCTAAGACTTCTTTTGCATTCCTCTTACACAGTTCTAAGTCCCCCGCGCGCCACCACACGTAACTCCAGATACAGTTCAAATCTTCTCGTCCACTTTCCAGCCGTCTGTCTTTTCGCCCTCCTCCTCCTCCTCCTCCTAATTCTGAGAAATCCCCCCAACCACCTCCTCCCTCTCCTCTCACACGGCCCAGGAGCTGACAGGGTTGACAGAGCCGTCCTACCGTAATTCGCCCCCTCCCTCTCCCCTCCTACCCTTCCCCCATCCCTCTATTTCTCTGTCACTCGTGTTTGCCTTTCTTGTTTGAGCCTACCTGCCCGGCCATCCGTGTGGGTCCTGACACTACTGCTACTCCTGCTGCCACACCTTCAGCTTCTGGTGTTGTTACTCTTGTGTTGCTGCTCTTGGGGTACTGGTCTCTCTCTCTCTCTCTTCAGTATATACAGGTATAATAATATAAGCATACCAGGAAATGATTCAGGATTCTAGGTGTAGTATTACAACAGGTGAGTCATGGCAGCGTGTGGCAAAAACTGTGGCTGAACCAGTGATATTTTTGCCCTCTTGCCCAACGCCTCACCAACACCTACCCCCAACACCTCCCCAACACCTCCCCAACACCTGACCAACACCTCCCCCAACACCTCCCCAACACCTGACCAACACCTACCCCAACACCTGACTAACACCTACACACCCCAACACCTCCCCAACACCTGACCAACACCTACCCCAACACCCTAACACCTGACCAACACCTACCCCAACACCTCCCCTACACCTGACCAACACCTACCCCAACACCTCCCCAACACCTACCTCCCAACACCTATCCCAACACCTCCCCAACACCTCCCCCAACACCTACCCCAACACCTCCAACACCTACCCCAACACCTACCCCAACACCTCCCTCTACCCCAACACCTATCTCCCAACACCTCCCCAACAACTACCCCAACACTCTGACCAACACCTGCCCCAACACCTACCCCAACACCTCCCCAACACCTGACCAACACCTACCCCAACACCTCCCCAACACCTATCTCAACACCTCCCCAACACCTCCCCAACACCTCCCCAACACCTACCCCAACACCTCCCCAACACTATTAGAAGACCATCAGTATATCCTCCTCCCAGAGTTCCTTGAAGTAAATCACTCTCCAACGTGATTCCCATACACCAAGGTTAGGTTAGGTTAAGGTTAGGTTAAGTTTAGTTAGTTTAAGCATGATATATATCAAACATATTATCACACTGTATGATCGATAAAATAA